TTACAGCATGTGTTCGTGTTTGTGTGTGCTGTCTGCGTCACTCATAGCACGTGCCTATATCGTGCGCTATATTGAACGTTTTTTATATCGGCATCGAAGAAGGTATACCGCCGATAAATATCAATACAGTTTTATCGCCCAGGCCTGAATGAACGATGCATGGTTCTGCTCTAAGCATGAAAGTTAAAAGTTTGTGAAAGGACTTCCAGTGCCAGGTAAACGTAAAGCAGATTATGAATATACTTAAGATTCACAAATACCAAAACAACGTGTCTACACCAGACGCGAGCGGCGCAATTTGACAAAAAAGCAAATAGAACCCAGTGATGTTCTCTGCTGTGGATGCAGCGCGACGCGACACAACAAATCCATGACAGTAAACTGATGCCGCGTTCTATTTCTGACGAACTCCAGCGCTCTGACACAAAGAACAATTTCAAATATTATAAGAGAATCGTGAAAAAATAGTTTCCTCAAAAATATTAAGCAGCACAAATGTTTACAACATAATGTGATACTAATCTGAACACTGATAATAATCAGAAATGTTTCTTGAGCAGCAAATCATATTAGAATGATTTGCACTTTTTGAGAAAACAATAGCACAATAAAAAAAGACTTTCAGGTCTATGTCCAATCCCTCACCTTTTCTAGTTATATAAGGTTAAAATATTTTGCCTGTAATTGTTTTTTTTCCTCATATCGCAATATAATATCGATATCGCCTGGACAGTGTAAAATATTGTGATATGAATTTTAGCTCATATCGCCCACCCCTAATTCCTACCACTTGTTAATTCATGCCTACGACTTATTCTTTTGTGGCCATTGTCCATGTTTCATTAATTTGTTCCCTAGATAAACCATGATTTAACTAGTGGTCAACCGATATTGTTTTTTTTTTTGACAGCCGATATCTTGGAAAGCAGGGTGGCCGATATAAAGCCGATATCATTTTATTTAATATTTAAGAAATCTGAAATAATTTGAAAATGGATAAAAAAATAAATGTGTAAAATAAACATGCTTATACTTTAAATGACAAAGTATTTTTCACAAATAAACAAATATTTAATACAAATATAATTAAAAACTTTTGTCCGTGGATAGAACTGTTAACGACGACAGCGAACAAGAGGGAGAATGTGAGCGGTGTGTGCTCATAAAAGTCCCTCCACGAACGCATCGGCTAAACAGAAAAACGTATCGGCCGATGCAGATATTTGAAAAATGCCAAATATCGGCCGATATATCGGCCTTGGCAATATATCGGTCGACCACTAGATTTAACTAAAATGAGGGAACGAATTAATAGGTCGTAGGAACGAATTACCATCAGAGTTATTACCATTGTGAATGTAGCAAAGTTTATTTATATATTTTCATTTTTAAGTCAAATTTTAATTTAACATGCATTTATAAGACCATACTTTATTATAAGTTTTATTACCTCGTCAGTAAATGTCATAAAACTAATTAACGATGCTGCGTTGGTGGCGAATTTGACATCTTTCTCTCTTCTGACCAATGAAATCAATCTCTTGATGTGTTTTGCTCTTTTGTAAGGCCATAGAAACACAATAGTGGATTTTTCTTTTGCTATTGCATCAAATGAGAATACAAGTTTTTTTGTTGTTGTTTTAGTCTGTAAACTTCTATAACGGTGAATGCAAACTATGATGACTTCTGCTTTGAGAACCACAGAAATGTGAAAAGAGTCCATTGTGTTCTCTGTGAAGAATACATGTGATGCTGCCTTAGAAGAAGGTGCTTGTAAAGAAACAGAACCTTGTGACACCTTCATAGGGCGCTCACTACAGAGTGATCACGATCACAGGGTGTTTTCTAGTGAGTCACACATCACAGCTCATGTTAATGTGTTTCATTCTAATATTCCAGATTGTCTCTCATTCAGGGGTGTGCGATATTGACAAAAAAGAATCTCGATATTTTCTGTGATTTTATCGATAACGATAATTAGAGTGTGTTATTGTGCTGGTATCTTAAGGACTATACTGTGGACAGCTGACTCCTAAAGTTTTTAATATTCTTCATATTTTGTGTGATCAGTTCACACTGATAGAAATTAATCTTTTTCAATAAGTTTAAACTGATTTTTACATTTTATGGGCATTTTTACCTTTATAAAGCCATTCTTTCTAAAAGTGTCCATTATCTTTTGAGTCAAATTCTTACATTTAATCAGTGATTTAGAATAATAAGACATTTGGGCTGTTAGCAAGCAAATTAAATCAGTATTAATAAAATTCATCTTTGCAGTGCAGAGGAAACACAGAAGCTGCGTCTGAAGAGGCATTTAGATGTGTTTACACACAAGACATGAATGCATTTAACCTGCAGTTACTAATGCATAAATAATGTTTTGATATATTAAACATAAAACCTTGAATACTGTTATTTGAAATTATTTAAATTAAAAAAAAAGAAACTTTAAATGTGAAATAAACCGCCAGTAGGTGGCAGCAAGTCACTGTTTAGGGATGCACCAAAATGAAAATTCTTGGCCGAAACCGAACAAAATTAAACACTGGGCCGTAGGCCGAATACCGAACACGGTTTTTCGAGTTTTTTTCCCCGTGTATTTTGCCAATTTTTTATCACCATTGCATAAATTAAAAAGCCAAAATGTGCTTTCTACTGTTTTGTCTTGCTTTTCAAAAAAAGAAAATAAAAATCAATTACAAAACAACAATTTAAAATATTTAATACTGAACATTTTTAACATTCTAGCAGACACTATACCAACAAAGCACAATTTAACTTAAAATTAATAAGTTAATAAAATAATCATTTTAGGCCATCAGACCCCCTTCTTGAATCAGGCATGTATTTTTTTATTTTTACTGTACAATTAAAAGCAGCCTTGCTGAGAAGAGAATTCTTTTAAAACATTAGAAAATATTACAGATCCTAATTTGAACACTATGTGTGAATGTTATAATAAATGTATTAAAACAGAGCTGTTGTAATGATTAACATCATTATTATTGTCTTTTTATTTTATTTTACAGAACAACAGAAAATTACAATACTAACATTTATGAATGTTGATAAGAGTTCTTGCTTTTTCTCAACTTTTATTTTGGCAGAAACGCATGCGCAGGAAGACCTCAGTGCTTATTTTTGTTGAGCGCTGCAGCACTAAACAGTCTCTCGCTGTCGGTGCTGTAATGATTTTTCATTCACAGTCTTTCTCCGACAGTTTAAATGCTTCAACACTGCTGACGTGTGTGCTGCATAATAAAGAGTGCGTGCCTCTCACTCTGTGCTGGTTGCTATTTGATCGTGTCATATCATTGTTCGGTACAATTTATTCTGTCTTTTCGCTTATTCGGCCAATAATTTCGGTTGCCGAACATTCGGTGCATCCCTATCACTGTTAATAAGTGAGTCATTGCGATTGAACCGAATCATTTAAACGGTTGATTCATTCAGGAACGAATCACTGTCATGTTGCTCAGAGACGCAAAACAGTGCTGTAGCTGTGTTTGGAATTATTTTTGTTGTTGAAATAGTGCAGAAACAGGCAATGTGGTGTCTAAAACGTAAGTCAGTTAAATAACTTCTTGTTTCTTGAACGGTTGTAAAAAAAAATCAATGTTATATTTGTGATCATGGAAATTTTTGGAGATCAAAACGCCACTTTGTTTGGTATTGATTAACTATATGAAATTATATAAATATACACATTTTCTGTCCCCATATCTTGAATTTTGTGATCATTCTAAATGCATTTTATTAGACTGAATCATGCAGTGAAAGAAAGCGCTCTAAATGCACACTAGTCTAGACTTCACGTGATGTATGCGTTCGCTCTGTAGGGATGTGTTTTGAATGGTTTTTGCAAAATACATGATAATGTCAAATCACACATCATTAAAACAACAATTATGATATTATCACAGACGATATATATCGCACACCCTACTCTCATATGTGTCCCTGGAGCACAAAAGCAGTCTTAAGTCGCTGGGGTATATTTGTAGCAATAGCCAACAATACATTGTATGGGTCAAAATTATTGATTTTTCTTTTATGCCAAAAATCATTAGGATATTAAGTAAAGATCATGTTCCATGAACATATTTTGTAAGTTTCTTACTGTAAATATATAAAAACTTAATGTTTGATTAGTAATATGCATTGCTAAGAACTTCATTTGAACAACTTTAAAGATGATTTTCTCAATATTTAGATTTTTTTGCACCCTCAGATTCCAGATTTTCAAATAGTTGTATCTCAGCCAAATATTGTCCTATCCTAACAAACCATAGATCAATGGAAAGATTATTTATTCAGCTTTCAGGTGATGCATACATCTCAATCTTATGACTGGTTTTGTGCTCCAGGGTCACATTTAATGAGCTTTGAGTGAGGCATTGAAAGCTGTAGTATCAGATGAATTCGAACATGTCAGGCCTTACAGGTGAAGTTCATGCTGCTGTTTGAGGCGATCGGTGTGTGTTGTGTAACAAGTGCCAGAGCCTGAGCGGGAACCAGCACAGTGGAGTACAGGAAACAGGAAGTGCTCGAGAGGAGCTCAGGTGACAGAAGGAAGCTCTGTTTGGATGCCTAGTGAGGGCTCTAGTGTGCTCCGTGTGAGATGAGACGCCGCTCTGTTGCTGTTGTTGCTGTTTTGTCCAGATTGTAAGGCAGTGCTGTGTTTGAATGCTTTTGAAGAAGGGAATCCCAGAATGCATGTTATGTAAAAAAACAAAAAGTGATGCGGTCGGTCAGATAAACACTCGTCCCGCAGCACATGCGTGTGCACTAGTGTGTTTGCATCAACCTGCAGCTATGTTAGTCAGTGGAAACACGGCCCGTCTCTGTTCTCAGAGCTCTCATGATTACTGCACATCTCTCTCTCACACACTTTTCATCTCACGTTTATTTGAATAATTTCATGATTTGTCTGAATGTTCACTATACAAATGTTTGTGTCACTCCGTTGTAGCACAACCTCCTAAAACCTTAAACTGCTTGAAATACCAACTGGTTTAGTGTGTTAACAAGCAGTGATCAGTAAGGCCTTTAGTATTTTCATCTCATAAATGTGTTCGGGCCTAAAATAATGATTCTGTCATAATGACGGACGCATGTTTAATTATCTATCTGTGTGTTTATGATTCACTCATACATGTTGCTGATAGGAGCAGATGGGAGGTGTGTGTATGTTTAATGGATGTGTGTGTCTTTTGTTGTTCTGCAGGGAGATTCAGCTGCTGAGACGACTACAGCACAAAAACGTCATCCAGCTGGTGGATGTGCTGTACAACGAAGAGAAGCAGAAAATATATCCTTTGTGTTTGTGTGTGAGAGTGTGTCTGTGAGAGTGTGTGTGTGTGTGTGTGTGTGTGTGAGAGAGTGTGTCTGTGTGTGTGTGTGTGAGAGAGTGTGTTTGTCTGTGTCTGTGTGTGTGTGTGTGTGTGTGTGTGTGAGAGAGTGTGTTTGTCTGTGTCTGTGTGTGTGTGTGTGTGTGTGTCTGTGTGTGTGTGTGTCTGTCTGTGTGTGTGTCTGTGCGCGTGTGTGTGCGCGTGTGTGTGCGCGTGTGTGTGAGAGTGTGTCTGTGTGCGTGCGTGTGTGTGTGTGCGTGCGTGTGTGTGTGTGTGTGAGAGAGCATGGATGCATGTGTGACGCAGAAATGACTGAACATGCTGTTCTGTTCTGTGCTGCGTCAGCTCAGCATTCAGCCTCTGCTTTACACTCACTGTCTTAAAGGAATAGTTCACCCAAAAATTTACGTGTGCTGTAAATGTGCTCACCCTCAGTTCATCTGAGATCAGGATGAGTTTGTTTCTTCCTCAGATTTAGAGAAATGCAGCATTACATCAGTGTCTCAGCAGTGGATGCTCTGCAGTGAATGGGTGCCGTCAGAATGAGAGTCCAAACACCTGATA